AAAAAAAAAATTAGAACCAGATAGAATGAGAAATAAAAAGGTTTTCAGGCCTTGCTTGAATCCGTACCTAAAACATTACTTCTGCTATCCCTAAAGTACTGGGTCCATTTTTTTTCTTTTCTTTTCTTTCTCTTCCCCTCTCCCCCAGAGGGTGCGTGCACTCACCAGAGAGGGATCACCTCTACCTCCACCCCCAGGGGAGTGACCATGCTGCAATGCTTTCTGCTCCATCTTTCTCTCCTTTCCGGACTTTGGGCACAAGCACATATTCCCAGCATGTTTCTCAAGCTGCCAGGTTTGAGACTCAAACTGTGTGGTTGATCATAAGGGCATCTGGCTGCCTCAGCCACTAGGCCATGGAGCTGCCTGAACCATGCTCCTTAGCGGGTGTGAATTTATATGTCCTCATTTTCTGTACTAGTCAGAGTAGGCATGGTTACACTGTAGGAACAAGCCAAAGATTTTAGTGTGCTATAGTACTGAAAGCTGCTTTCTTTCTTTAAAAAAAAAAAAATAAAAAAAAAAAAAGAATTATTTTATTTAACTTTATTTATTATTATTTTCCAGTTTGATCAGATGAAGTTTACGGAGGGGTTAGAAAGCAAGCTACCAGGTCTAGGACTTGAACCGTGGTTGGCCATGTGGGAGTCCAGCTTTTATTGTTTTTCTTGGAGAGGTAATTTTTTTTGCTATAGGGCGTCTGCGCTCGCCAGAGAGAGAGAGAGACAGAGAGATAGAAAGCAAGAAATCACCCCCCAGGGGGGATGGCCACACTGTAATCCCTTCTCCTCCATTCTCCTCTCAGGATCTTGGGCATGCATGCAAAACCACCCGACGTGAGTTTTAAGCTACCGGGTCCAGGGCGCAAACCGCGGTCGACTATGTGGGAGTCCAGCGACATAGCTATTACGCTAACTGCTGGTCCCAGTCCAGCTTCTTTCTTACTGAAGGCTTCTTTCTTGCTCATGCCATGCATCCAGTGTAGGTAACAGGGACCTTTTGGTGTTTGGAGCCTGTCAGGTACTGCCTCAGGAGGAGGGGCATCGGGGTCCCTTACCATGTTTTCATACTTCCTCATGGAAATGACCCGTATCCCCTCTGCTCTCATTTCATGGGCACAACTCCACGGCACAGGGCCATACCTAACTTCACAGCGAGGGAGGTGTGACCCCCTTGTCCTCAGAAGAGTAGGTGGGAATGCAGATGCTGGTATCATGACACTGTCCTTAGACACCCCACTTAGAGACCTCCCCCTTGGTATCAGTAACATGGGAACGAAATCCACTGAGCCGCAGGCAGTTACCTGGCAAGTGGGAGGTTTTTCACTGTAACGAGCCAAGATGCCTCATAAAAAAAAATATTACTGACAGGACCAGCAGATGGAGTAATGGTTCCATTGCTGGACTCCCATGTACTCAACTGCAGTTCGAGTCCTGGACCCAGCAGCTTAAAATTCACATTGGGTGCTTGTGCACGAGTGCCCAAAATCCTGAGAAGAGAATGGAGGAGAAGGAATTGCAGCGTGGCCCTCCCCCAACCCTGGGGGGAGGGGGGGCACTGATTTCTTACTTTATACTCTCTATCTCCCTGGCAAGCCCATGCACCCTATAGCAAAAATCTCTTCTAAAAAAAAAAAAATTATACACACACAAGTGTGTGTGTGTGTGTGTGTGTGTGTGTGTGTGTGTGTATTTCTGTGTATATATTTATATATACATTTACATGTAAATATATTTATGTATTTATTTACTACTACTATTTTTAATTTGCTATAGGGCACATGCACTCAGAGAGAATCAGAGAGAGAGGTAAAGTGAGAAAGCAAGTCTCCAGGTTCAGTAATCGAACCGCACTCGGCCATGTGGGAGTCCAGTGCCTTAACCACTGTGCCACCTGCTGCCACCCCCAACAGGGTCTGAATCCATCCCGAGCTTCAGTCAGCCTGAATCATGAGTACACACATGCCCAACGTGTTCGAGGAGGCCTCTGGATGAGAACCAGGAAGTTATAGTTATATTACTGGCTGTGAAGATGGACAGAAAAAGGAAGTACCTCAGATCATGGGACTGGATAGTGGTCCCAGGGTAAAACACAACTCTCTCTGAGGCTGAGCCTTGTGGGAGGTTCGTCGATCGTGTGTGTGTGTGTGTGTGTGTGTGTGTGAATTTTTTTTAAAAGGTCCTGTCAGGGATGCCTGTCTCTGTCAGTCTATCTGTCTCTTTCTCATGGAAGGAAGTAAGTTAAAAAAAGAAAAAAAAAATCTCAGAAACCTGGTTTCTCATACTAGAGTCAGGCATTCATGCCCTTCCCAAAATTAGACAGAAATTCTGCTCGCTAATCCCGCCGGTCCTGAGGGTGGCCTAACCCAGAGCTGAGTGGTTTCTCCTCAGTGTGTGATTTCTCTCCCTGCCGCAGTGCTCTGGATCATTGAAAGGGAGGGAAAAAAAATCAATACTTCCCCAAATAGTCCACGCTGGCTTCCCGTGTCTACAGACACCAGCTGTCCCCTCCACACACTCCCTGCAGGCCCCTTCTCTCCTCACCCACCTAGCAGGCAGGCTTTGGTTCCCATTCGGATACCTGCTCTCTCCTGGCTGTCTCTCTTTTTTATTAGAGATACTTTTGTGATAGGGTGCATGCACTTGCTTGAGACACAGAGAGAAAGTGAGAAGTCACCCCAGGGGGGATGGCCACCCCACTGTCCCTTCTCCCTTCTCCTCTTGGGATTTTGAACACACGCGCACACGTGCCCAGCATGAATTTTAAGCCACTGGGTCTGGGTCTCAAACCACAGTTGAGTACGTGGGAATCCAGTGACGTAGCCACTCTGCCGTCTGCTGGTCCCCCGTTGTCTCTCATGCAGCGAGCAAACCCTAGCTTTGGCTGCCCGTCCTCCTACCTGCAGAGAACAAGCGTACACGTTCACACCAACAGCCGCCACCCCTCTCCCTGGGATGTTTTCTCATACGTACAGCAGTCGCTAACTTCCCAGCTAAAGTACGGCTATCCACCTGGCACTAATTTTGTTCCCCCAAACAACTGCTAGGCTTTCTTTCTGCTCACCCGCTCACATCTGCCAGCTTTTCAATTCCTTCTTGACGGAGCCTGCAGACAATGGAGGGAAGTACCTCGCTCCCTTTTGTTTCCATTCATTGCTTGGCAGCAGGTGAAGAAACAGGTAAGTGAAGAGCGAAAACATTGCTACGCAGCCACCCCAGGCAATTCGACTTCCTTTCTTTTTCTTTTCCCTTGTTGCATAAAGATGCTTTCATGATCACCTTATGTTTTCCCATACCATCCCCTTTAAAAAAAAAAACTGTATTTTAAAATTCCCGTTCATATAAATAAATACATAAAAGTGAAAACGGTGAATGCTGCCGTAGACAGAGAGCCTCACTGTGTGTGCGGTGACTCTCGCTCAGTATCCCTCATCCTTTGTTTTGCGGTCGTGTCCCGCACATCTTTCTATTGCAAATGTTGAAACGCAGGCTCAGAGAGGAGAGGTGACCTGCCCAGTCTCACCTGCTATAAGTGGCCGAGCTAGGACTCAACCCCAAGCTCGCCAGAGCTTACGTTCGTTCCTCCCTGCCATGCAACTACTCAGTGACATCTGGTCTGTTGTGTTCAGCAGTGTGGTTACTGCTGCTGGAGTATGTCAAGGTCTCCAGGACGGAGGGGCTGGACAGTGGTGCAACGGTCAAATACAGTGCTCCAGGGGCCAGCAGGTGGTGTAGTGAGTAAGGCGCTGGACTTCCACATGACGGACCGTGGTTCAAGTCCCTGGCGGCTCAAAACACCGGTTGTATGCGTGTGTGCCCAAAATCATGAGAGGAGAATGGAGGAGGAGGGATTGCAGTGTGACCATACCCCCAGGGGGCCGATTTCTCACTTCTGTCTGTCTGTCTCTTTCTGTGTTTCAATAGCAAAAATGCATCTTAAAAAACATATGTATATGATCTCCATGAGACTGACCAAGATGAGAAGATTCCAGGTTCACCTCTTCAAACCTCCATGAGTGTGAGGCATACAGGTGCCTACAAGGCAGGCTGGCTGAAGCTGGGGGTGAATTGTGGCATCAAGATCCCATTGGGAATGCTTTTCTTCTGTGTCTGTCTCTCACTCTCTGTCTCTTTGTCTATATATATATAAAGTTCATATATATTCATATATACACATGCATACATATGTATATATACACACACACATATATTCCTTGCTCATTAAATAAATATATAAATAAATAAATATCTCTAGGATTCATGAACTCACTAGAAAGAGAGGAGGGGAGAGAGAGAGAAATACAGAGACAGGGAAAGTGAAAACTCACCCCCCCCCCTTCCAGGGGCAATAGCCATACCGCAGTCCCTTCTACATCCTCCACTCGGGATTTTGGGCATGCATGCACATGCGCCCAGTGTGAGTTTCAAAGCCGCTAAGTCTGGGACTTGAACCACAGTCAGCCATGTGGGAGTCCAGTGTCTTAAACCGCCATACCTCTTTCTGGCCCCACCAGTGTGGTTTTTTAAACTACCAAGTCTAGGACTTGAACCATGCTGTTGGCCATGTGTGACCCAGCTGCCTTAACCTCCATGTCACAGGCTGACCCAAATGAGCTACATTTTGGGGAGGCGAGAGCGAGCATACCTCATATAAATATACCCTGAACTGTAAATGTTTCCTCCTGCTGTTGTGAGCTCGCCTTGCAGCTCTGCCAATTCCAGGCAATTCCAGCCGAAATTCAGAGGGTGCCTGGCTCCTCGCTGATTTTGTTTAGACTGATAGAAACACAGGTAGACAAGAAAATTACGGAGGGAGCGTGATCCGGTTCCAGCTTTCAGTGAAACCAAGTGCCCATGTGCATTAATGGCCTTCCTCACCCCACGGCCAGTCCTTCCCACCCCAGAACCCTGGGCTGTCCCCAACCAACCCAGGTCCTCATCAAGATTCTCCGTGGCCCCTTGGCGTCGCCTCCCACTAAGCTGTGGTCTTTCTGTTTGCAGATAACCTGGACATCACTCCGGACGACCCCCGCTGGATCGGAGCCTGGTGGGGCGGCTTTCTCCTCTGTGGTGCCTTACTCTTCTTCTCGTCCCTCCTGATGTTCGGGTTTCCACAGTCCCTGCCCCCACATTCAGACCCTGCCGTGGAGAGCGAACAAGCCATGCTCCCCGAGAGAGAGTACGAGAGGCCCAAGCCCAGCAATGGGGTCCTCAGGCACCCCCTGGAGCCAGACAGCAGTGCCTCCTGCTTCCAGCAGCTGAGAGGTAAAGGGGGCCTCATCGCTGGTGGCCACAGTTACTGGGGGGTGGCGATGGAAGAGTGGCACTCGGGAGTGGGTGCCAGGGGACTCGAAGCGGGGCATGGTAATACTCGTTTTCATGGTTTGCCGTCACCAGCCCTGTGCTTAAGTTACTCCTGAGAAGCGCGCAGTCAGACTTGCTTAATGAAACAGAAATAAACAGTGGCTTCCGTTTACAGGGGCTGCAGAGGCAGTTCTAGGACCTTATAGACCATAATTACGGATGTCTGTAAAAAGAAGGGTACAAAAGAGGGAGAGAAGAAGCTAAATTTCCCATGCAATTGTATTTTGAGAATTATTTATTTAATTTTACTTAGTAGTAGTATTTTTCCATTTGGCCAGACAGAGAGCAATAAGGAGAGTGAGAAAGCAAACTGCCAGGTCCAGGACATGAACCGTGTTTAGCCCTGTGGGAGTCCAGCACCTTAACCACCACGCTACCTGCCTGCCCCCACCCTGCAATTCTTTTAAACTCTTCCAGGCACTCATGAGCATCCCGAAGTGGTGAAGGACTTTCGAAGCTGGTTCCCTTTTCCTCATTCAGACTTTTCTCAAACAAGCAGCTCCAAAGGCCATTTCTTGGGCTTCACTCTGCTCTCCCATGCCCTCCAGTAAAGATGAGGGATGTGCTCCTCTAGAAGCCGGTGTTCACCCAGACTGAGTAACAGTCACACTTGAGAATGCAACAAAGCCTTTGCTATCGTTTTTACGAGAGGAAAAGATATGCAGCTTTTCTGATATGGTGGCGAGGCACACACAGTGATGCAGAGCGAAAATCGAAGTCCTCAGGTGGTTTCTCCAGCACAATCCCTTGGGGGCCTCGGTGTAGCCGAATGTGGCCTGGCAGCCTCAGAAGCTGCTCGAACTCCATCAGGTGTTCCTTCATCTGCCTGAGTCCTTGCTGGGGTACCCTGAACTACCTGCTGGATTTTAGAAATGAGCAGGTTAGGGCCAGCATGGGGCGTGGTGGTTAAGTCACTGGACTCTCACATGGTTGACTGTGGTTCAAGTCCCGAACCTGGTGGTTTGAAAATCACACCGGGTGCTTATGTATGTTTGCCCAAAATCCCAGGAGGAGAACGGGGGATGCAAGATTATGTGTGGCTATCACTTTCATTCTCACCGTCTCTCTCCGTCTCTTTGGAGAGTCCACACGCCTTATGACAAAAACCTGGGGTGGGGGGGGAGAAGAAAAGAAATAAGCAGGCTTATAGGGGAGCAGGGCAAAGTGGGAAAGGGATCCCCAGGACAGCTTTGATGGAATGAAGGTGCATGGTCATCCCCTGCTTAGCAGGAACTGAGCACTCGGCTTGCCCAGCCATCAGCAGCTACAGGTGCAGTCTTCCAAAGCTTTATTTAGGGGCCAGCAGGTTTCATAGCGGTTAGAGCACTGAGTCCCATGTGGCCAACCATAGTTCGAGTCCCGGACCCGGCAGCTTGAAACTCACGTGTGCGCTCAAGTGCCCAAAATCCCAGGAGAACAGAGGAGAAGGGATAGCAGCATGGCCATCTCCCCAGGGAGGTGATTACTCACTTTCCCTCTCTCTGTCTCTCTTTGTTCCTCTCCAGGTGAGCACACATGCCCTATGACAAAAACCTTAATTATTTAAAAAAAAAAAAAAGCTGGATTTAGACATTTTTTAGCAGTGACAGTCCCTAACCGAGCTTCTCTTAATGAGGTGTACCTTCTGTGGAGATGCTCAGGAACTGGAGAAAACCTGGGACAAACCTGATTTCAAGCTCAGATCCTTGTCCTTCCTGTCACCAGCTCTGTGATCATTAATTTGTCCTGCTTTGTGTCCACAAATGTAAAATTGTTACACGACTCCTCACTGACAATGTTCTCCTGAGGGTGAAGTCCCTGCCCCCAGAAGACTGTTAATTGCACCCATTAGTCCATGAGGAATCCAAAGACCTTGTGCTATTTCCAGAAAGAGACTAATTTAATAACCTGATGTCATATCTGGTCCTCGGTTTCTTGATGGTTTCTACCAGTGCCGCAGTTTAGAATTGTCCAGAGAAGACCTTAAAATTTATCAAAGTTCCAGAATGTATTAGTAGGTGGAGGGTCACCCCATTTGTGTCCTCTGAAGTTGCCTGGACTGGGAACCCTGGACATAGTGCTTAATAAAAAAGGTCCCCACAACTGCTCACTTCAGGAGGCCCTGCTAGCTGGAGGGTATGCCCGTTGCTCCCCTAGTACCGCAGCTGGCTGCAGAGACTGAGCCTAGTACCAGACCCACAGGAATCAGTCAGGCTGGCATGAGGATGGGCCTTGAGAAGGATACCCTGGCCCTGGTCTAAGACAGCCTTTCAGGGCCAGCAGGTGACATCCTGGCTAAGGCGCTAGACTCCCACTTTGTCGACCATGGTTCAATTCCCAGACCTGGAGGCTTAAACTCACGCTGGATACATGTGCATGAGTGCTCAGAATATCTCCAGAGAAGAATGGAGGAGAAGGGATTGCGGCATGGCTGTCTCCTCTGGGAGGTGATATTTGCTTTCTGTTTCTGTGTCTCTCTCTCAGTCTCTCTGGTGAGCACATGCACCCTATAGCAAAAATCTCTCTCAAAACAGAACAAAACAAAACCCTTTTTTGGATCTCTCCTCACCCCAGGCTGGTGGCCCTGGCTTCCTAGGACTCTGATTACAAGGGCTACACCAGTAATCTCTCCTCTTCCATCACTGGAAATACAAGGATGAAAAAAGACACAGTTGAGCCATAAAAGAAATCACAATGCAGTGCAGGGACCGCATAACAAGCAGTGAAGACAGACAGGTGTGCTTAGTCCTGGAGCAGCTAGCAGGCAGCCTGGGGGTTGCAGGGATGTGGTGGACAGGCAGAGAGAGCCCCTCTCCCTTGCTCGGGCCAGCATTTCCTGAGACCCAGCTAGGCACCCGGGCCCAGCCATGACAAAGGCAGTGACAAAGGCAGCTTAGATTCTGGAGCTTGTATCCTCATAGAGGTGGCATGCGATAGGCAAGATCGTGTCGGTGACAGGGTGAGCATCCTGTGAGCTGCGGCCAAGCTGACAGGTGCACATTCAGATAATGGGTCTAGAACTCACGAGACCATAAACGACCACCAGTTGTGATCTGTATACACACGGGCTTCACTTGCTATAATTAACGATGTTTAATTTAAAATGAGTAATTCCCAGAGGCTATCAGCCCACTAATGGGCCCAGAGGAAGTCTCAGCAGAAAGGCAGAGTCTCTAGAAGATTCCCCTGAGGCCAGAATATGGTGCCATGAGCTGTTATGCTTATATTCCAGTTAGACGCGCGCCCGTGCTGGGAGAATGGCCATGGTGGTTGACATCCTTAATTTTAACATGTGAGAGAAATGCTTCTGCCGTGTGGTCATTTCCAACAAAAGCTCCCTGTGGCTCTGTTTTTGAGAGAGATTTTTGCTATAGGGCACTTGCACTCGCTGTAGAGATAGAGACACACAGAAAGTGAGAAATCAGCCCCCAGGCAGGATGGCCACACCGCAATCCCTTCTCCTCCATTCTCCTCTCTGGATTTTGGGCGTGCACATTCACACACCCAGCGTAAATTTTAAACCGCCAGACCCAGGTCTTGAACTGCAGTCGACTACATGGAAGTCCAGCGATGTAACCATTACGCCATGCTGGTCTCACTCTTGTAACCCAGGAAGCCCTGGTGGTCTCCAGGCAATGTGCTGCACAGTTCGGGTCAGTAAGCTGAGAAGGGGCTGCTGGGAAGTAGCAGAGGAATTAAAACTGCTGGCCCAGTCTATATGTTGCAATTTCTGTTCCGTTCCGTTTAACTTGCAAACAAGTTTCTCCTTTTGCCATCAATCTGTGTCCTCGCTGTGCTGTGCTCGCAGACAGCAAAGGCTCCTGAGAGGGATGGCAGTGCACTGAAAACAGCCCCTCCATTCCTCCAAACAACGTTTCCATAAGCCTGGGACAGCCCTAGGGCAGCCTGGTTTGAGTCAGAACTTCCTGGATTCAAATCCAGCTCAGCCACTTCCTAAGTGTGCAGGCCTGTCCACATCGCTTAATTCCTCTCATCTTTAATATGCAGTGTCTTGTTTACTTCTTTTAAAAGGATTATTTACTTAATTTTATTAGTAGTAGTAGTATTAGTATTACTATTATTATTTGACCAGAGAAAGTGAGAAAGCAAGCTGCCAGGTCTAGGACTTGAACCACAATCAGCCAGGTGGTTGTCCAGGACTCCAGCAAACATGCCACCTGTTGGCCTTGTCTGGTTTAATCTTAACAATAGCTGCATCGGCTCAATGTTACTACTTTTCCCCGTTTATAGATGAGGGGAAGGAGTTCTGGTGATAGGGGAGTTTGAGCCTGTAGTTCAGTTTTCAGGGCACTTCCCCAAAAATTGGCCTCAAGGGTCTATTTCCAGCAAAGGCGGCCCTCAGTTAGGTTTGTAGCGCTACCACAGGTTGTGAGATGGAGCACTGAGTCTCGTTCCTGAGCAAGAATCCCCATCTGGTAGCACCTGTCATGTAGCCATTTTATGAAGCAGACCGCGGACGAATAAATGCACAGGCTTGTCGAACTCCTGTAATCCCTCAGCCGAGTACCTGCCACCCCAGCGTGTGTTCATGTCTCAGCTGTGCCGCTCAGTGACTTTTCCTTCAGGCTTTGGTTTTGACGCATCCCCTGCATGATCTTGTCCCTTGGGTGGCCCATTTCTTGGGACACACCTCGCATTTGTCCTCGTGTCATGTGTCTTTCTTCCTTTTTGAAAAGAGAGATTTTGGGAACCAGCAGTTAGCGTAATGGCTATGTTGCTGGACTCCCACGTAGTCGACCGCGGTTCGCGTCCTGGACCAGGTGGCTTAGAACTCATGCCGGGCGCATGTGCGTGTGTGCCCAAGATTCCGAGAGGAGAATGGAGGAGAAGGGATTGCGGCGTGACCATCCCCCCTGGGGGGTGATTTCTCGCTTTCTGTCTCTCTGTCTCTCTCTGTCTGT